TCGTGGACATCTCCAGACAGCTCCACCCTGCAGAAGTATCTCTCGCTGTCGCTCCAGGTCAGATTGTCAATCCTGATGGAAAGGTCCTTGTGCCTGGGGTTGCCAAGCAGCTTGTATTTGTTTTTGTAGCTGATGGCAGTCTTGCAGAGCTCGCTGGTACTCTGGCTGACACACTTGAAAACTACTGTGCCATTGTAAGGTTCCTTGATCCTCCAAATGGCAGTGAGGGTCCTGTCAAATGTTTTGTAGGGGTGTGTGAAGGTACAGGGCAGGATAACCATCTTCCCAAGCTCACCAGTGACGTCAGAGGGGACGTGGACCGACCAGCCGTTGGACTGCACACCTAGAAGCAAAAAGAGATGATCAGGACTGATTTATCTGCAGTGTTTGAGAGGGAAATTTGACCCCACCTGGTGTATGCTCTGGGGCCCCTGGCATGACTAAAACATGGACCTGCTTGAGTGGGGCCAGAGGAAGGCCACAAAGATTATCCGAAGGCTGGAACCCCTCTGCTGGGAGGACAGGCTGAGAGAGCTGGGCTTGATCAGCCTGGAGAAGAGGAGAGTCCAAAGAAACCTTCTGGTGGCCTTCCAGTACTTCATGAGGGCCTAGAAGAAAGCTGGGGACAGAGTTTTTAGTAGGTCCTGTTGTGACAGGACAAGGACTTTTAGCTTTAAGCTAAAAAAGGGGAGATTTAGATTGGATATAAAGAAGAAATTCTTTCCTGTGAAGGTGGTGGGACACTGGAACAAAGAAGCTATTCATGAGGGCCTAGAAGAAAGCTGGGGACAGAGTTTTTAGTAGGTCCTGTTGTGACAGGACAAGGACTTTTAGCTTTAAGCTAAAAAAGGGGAGATTTAGATTGGATATAAAGAAGAAATTCTTTCCTGTGAAGGTGGTGGGACACTGGAACAAAGAAGCTATGGGTGCCCATTATGTGAAGAGTTCAGGGTCATGTTGGGTGGGGCTTTGAGCAACCTGCTCTAGTGGGAAGTGTCCCTGCCCATGGTAGGGGGGCTGGAACAAGGTGATCTTTAAGGTCCCTTCCAACCCAAACCATTCTGTGATTCTGTGAAACTGGGCATCCTTCCAGCATCTGCTTTGTTGCTGGTCAGGAAAAGGATGCTGTGCTCTGGTGGTGGGCCCTGTGCTGCTTGGTCTTGCTGAGGACTTGCAGCCCAGTTACTGTGGCTGGATTTGGTACCAGTCTGCAGCAGAGCTCAGGAGCTCAGGGGACTGACCAGCTCGTGTCAGAAGTGATTTAATTCCTAAGCAGGCCTCTTGTTTGTCAAGTGAACGATCTCACTTTAAGTTGGGCAACAGTCTTTTGAGGTTAATAGACATTTATGTGCTCGGAGGAATGGAATTATTTTTTCTTTAAAGAAAAGCCCAGCTAAAAATAGAAGTTTTGCATGTGTTCAGGGGTGTGCTGGCTTTGGGCACTGAAGCAGAGTCCATGCAGCAGCCCTGTGTGTAAGTGTGCACACACGTGCTCCTACACCACGGTGTTTGTTACACCAGTCAGGTACACCACCTGGGGAAGGTGGTGACCGCTGGAGTTCCCCATGATCCATGCTGCTATCATCATGGACCAGCATCTTACTTGTAGGCTGTGACAGGATCTGAGTAAAGTCTTGAAGATACTGTTGATGCCCACTCTGATAATTTTTGTCCAGAGATGAAAGCAGCCTTCACCTGAATGCATGTTCCTCACCTTTGAAGTCTAGAGGGAAAACTCAATTTCTCATCCATTTCTCTTCCCCAGGAGCCAACAGCATCAGCAAACAGCATCTGGAGGCAGTTTGGAGATACGTGTATCTATCCCCTGTCTTCCTAATCACAACAGCTGTAGCAGCAGATTGTGGCTTCAGGAATGTCTGTGGCTATGTTCCTATCTTATAAAACTCACGTGATGGTTTCATTAAATCAGGACCTTTCCCCTCAGTAGCTGAGAATAACTAAAAAAATCTAAAGGTGTCCTGAAACTTCTGCCCACCCCTGGTCTAGCTGGCTTCACTGTGAGCATTCAGATGTTGGGTTACATGTGTAAACTCTAAAATAAGATTTGTTGCTTGCTCATGTATCTGTTCTCCACAGTATTGGACAAACACCTCAGTGGCAGTGCAGCTCATGTTAATCTATTGTGTGGTGCACAATGGACAAAGGCCAACACAGGAATGGTTCTCTGCTATGCAGTTATTTATCTGGAATCAGCTCCAAGCCATTTTTTTTTTTGATTATTGAGATCTGCAGTTGAGCTGCCTTTCAGTCATTATAACAATAGAGGAGTAATTTTGGCAGCCTTGGTAATCTAATACACAAGTCTACAAGGCTGCAGGAGCTCCAGGAAGTTCATGGACTTTGAGCATAAGGACCTGGCACTGGAAAGAGAAAAAGCTATTGCTTTCTGATTTATTTCATATTATTCTGGTTATTTTACAGCCTGTCACTCTAACCCATAGATCTGGAGAAATGCAGATCATGTTCTGTTTAGTGCATGCTTTGCTTTCCTCTGCCACCTCTTTGGTTAGCATTTTTTCCCCTTAAATCTTAGGCAAAGAATATTCTTTTTAGCACATAAACATCCCTTTTCCTTCCACATGAGAAATGATGTTAAAAATAATTGCTTCTGATGTTACCAGCTCCACCCATTTCTATGAGAACAGTTTGCCTAGGTTATGAGTGGAGGGAGTTCTCAGCATCTTGTGTATAATTCAACCTTAACCTTAAAGCTTCATCACAGTAGGTCTTCCACAGCTTCCTCCTGTTACTATCCAGCCTCAGCTTGTTCCTGGAACTGAAGCTCTCACAAGAGCAGAGAAGGTCATAGGCAATTAGCCCAACACACCTTACACAGATAACTCCTGAAAGGGGTTCTCAGGTCAGTGTATCTGCTGGCTGTCAATGGAAAGGTCATGAAGACAATATCTGGAGCTGGAGACCATCAAAGACACTAGCCTTGCTCCAGCAAACACTGTTTCATAGTATATCTAAGCAACTTCCCTTGAGTTTAATGGAACTTAAGTGCATACTTGAGATTAAACGTGAGCTTAGGTGCTCAGTGGGACTGGAGCAAATTGTGTCTGTAGCACAGTAACTCTCAGGAACACAAACCAGCCCTTCTGGGTGGTGATGGAAGTTTCATCCAGCTGACAATATAGAGGAAACGTTAGATGAAGTCCCTGCAAAAGTTAAAAAAGAAAAAAAAAAAAGCAAAAAATACCCTACCCAAACCCAGACCAAAGACCTCTCTGACAGTTTCAGTGTCAACTGTTTGAGTTTTTCCAATATTCTCACATGCACCTGGGATTTCAGGATCCTTTCAAGCAATGCGATGCACAATGCAGCTCTTGGAGAGTTTATTGTACCAGACATATTCCCCTGATGCTTTCAGTAGAGTGGGAAGAAAAGCCCTGACCAGACAGCCAAGCTCAGAACTCACCCTTCCTGGAGATGCGAAGGAGGCACAGAAGGAACAGGCTGAGCTCTCTCATGCTGGTTGACATTCTCCACTGAGGTGTATCAGCAGACCAGAACCGTCTCTTCAACATCTGAGCTGCTGGTGTTGCAGTCACAGAAGGTTTTTCCAGGGATGGAAGAAGTTGTGGTTTCCCTCTCCTTGGAGGGAGTGAGTTGTCTGGCTGAACCAGCTCTGCATTCTGATATTAATAGTTTTGTGGTTAGTCATGTGAAAAACAGACCCGGGGGAATCAGAGTATTACCATTTTCCAGCTCAGGGAAGAGCCCTGCAGAGAGGCACTGCAAACACCCACTGCTTGTGTGTGGTGGGGCAAGAGGGGACAGCTTTCAGGTGCCACCAGTTCACCAGCCTGGAGGAGGTCCTTGCCATATGCCTAAGGAGATGGGAAGACAGTTCTCCTGGCCCAAGTCAGGTCCTCCTCCCAAACCTGGCCCCTGACAAGTCCTGTGTCATTCTCTTTGTCATTAAACTGTGCTGGAAATGAGCTGAGCTCCAGCTTTTGCCCAGAATCCTTACCCAAACTCTTGCTCTTCCCTTCCGGGTTTAGCTTTAACAAACGTACTGTGCTGTTTGCTCATCTGCAGAGCTGGGGGCTTGTGGAGAGCTGACCAGGCTTCCCTCCACGTCACCTCCCACAGCATCATCCCGTGATGTTGTTAGGTTTAATCTTGGCACGTGTGTCCCCTGTCTGGGTTTAGCTTGGGGCTGGCTGCGTTTGCTCCAAGCAGAGGGAGGGCTGGTGTCTGACTCCCTCTTCACACCCCAGCAGCTGTGCTGCTGTAGGGTCCTGCTCCCCCTTTTCTGTCTGGGGACAGGGACAGCAGCGCCCACACTCCTCCTGCTGCAGGCAGCGGTGGAGGCACAGCCACTGGGGGGGTCCC